TTGTGGCAAACATGATATAGTTATATTGGATATGGAAGGTGTGTATGCAGCTCGAGGAAGACCAAGGCGCAACGTTAAAAAGGCTACTAATCTTCACCATTATCGAGTTGAGTTGTTTTATTCCGTGATTGATATGCTAGCTCAAGAGCTTAACAATCGGTTTGATGAAGTGAACACAGAGCTACTCTTGTCAATGGTATGCTTTGATCCGAGAGACTCGTTTTCTGCGTTTGATAAAGGGAAATTGCTCCGTCTTGCAGAGTTTTATCCTTCAGAGTTTTCTACAGTTGCTTTACTTGAACTTGAAAATCAACTCGAGAATTTTATTTTTGATATACGCTTAGATGAAAACTTCTCGAATGTCGCTAATATTGGAGATCTCGCTCAAAAGATGGTGACTAGAAGAAAACATGATGTTTTTCCATTGGTTTACTTGTTGATTAAGTTGTTGTTGATTTTACCGGTTGCTACTGCTACAGTGGAAAGAGCTTTTTCGGCAATGAAAATCATCAAAAGTACACTACGCAACCGAATGGGAGATGAGCTTTTGAATGATTGTTTAGTGACATACATCGAGAAAGATATATTTCGGAACGTTAGCAATGAGGCTATCATGCAACGATTTCAAAACATTAAAAATAGAAGAGAAATATTATGATCTCTTATTGTTGTCGTAAGTTATTTTATCGAATACTCGGAAATATGTATTATATTTATTTAGTCCGTACTTGTTTATTTTTACAGTTGATGTTTTTTTTTTTTTTATTATTAGTTGAACATTTTTATAGTTGATGTTTTTTTCGGTTATTATTAGTTGGGCCCCCCTCGATAAAATATCTAGGTCCGTCACTGCGTAAGATGTTGGTCTTTTGTTAATATAATATAATAAAAAACATAATTATATCTCTATATTGAACAAAGTAATACAAAAATCAATTTTATATTATATTATTATGCAAAAAGTGTGAGGGTATATATGTCTTATTTTACGTACGATCGAACTTGCAATGAATATTAAGTGCAAGTTACATCTTACAAAACTAATATTACAAACATTTTATGCAAGCCATTTTTAATCTGAAATTGATAATTTCTCCCTTTTCTCTAGGTAAGATCAGTTGTATGGATGGTAGTCTATTTATATATAACTCAATTTTATTTTATTTTATTTTTTTTTACCTGAAAGGTTTATTGTTCGTTACTAGCGTGTAAAAATTTTCATTGAAAAAAACTACTATAATCATTAAGGAAAATACTAAAGTTCGATAATGGGATGATTCATTTATTGTTTCAATCAATTAAATTACAACAATGTGTGCAGTTAATAACTTAATATACAACTTTCATGTATCTAAATACTAGTAATAATTGTAAATATCCAAAGATCTAATATAAATGAACGGAATCATGCTGTTACAGAATTTTAGCCATCCTCAATGATTAAATAGTATAAAATACAATATTTATAAACCAACTAAAATAGTTTTGAATTATATTACTTGCATGCATACAGAGGTTGCAAGTGTGTAGCGAAGCAATGTATTTGGCACCATTAGGCAAGTGTCAAAACTTATGGGCTCCAACAAATAATAATCTAAACATCCCAAATCTTAAAACCCAAGCATTCAATTTTGGGCAAAATTAGCATTGTGTATTTACTGGGCTTTGTAAAGAGAAGCTAACCCAATAATAGTTAAACTAACCCAATAAAATTTGCCCAAATGCAAGAAGCCCAACATTGAACTAGGGTTTATTTCCGTCCCCACTCTCATTAGAATTGCTTTACCGCCTCTCACTCTCTCTCACACACACAATACGACCACCGGAGCAAAAGCAAATCCGGCGACAAAATGAAGGCGATTCTCTCATCCGACACCATGGATATTCCCGACGGCGTGAAGATCAAGGTCAAGGCTAAGATGATCGAGGTCGAGGGCCCCAGGGGCAAGCTCACGCGTAACTTCAAGCACCTGAACCTCGATTTCCAGCTCATCACCGACGAGGCCACAGGAAAGAAGAAGCTGAAGGTGGACGCCTGGTTTAGCAGCCGGAAAACAACCGCCGCCATCCGCACGGCGCTCAGCCACGTCACTAACCTGATCAACGGCGTCACGAAGGGTTACCGTTACAAGATGCGTTTCGTGTACGCTCACTTTCCGATCAACGCCTCCATCGCCGGAGGAGGAAAGTCGATCGAGATCCGTAACTTCCTCGGGGAGAAGAAGGTATGAGGAATTTACTGCAGTTCTTTATTTTTGGGATATTCAATGAAATACTATGATGTGTTACACTTTCACTACTTATCATATTTTGTACTCAAATTTGCCTGAAAAATGTCTATTGTGCAGTGGCAATGTCTGTCTCACCAATAGTTTTGTTTATATTCGAAATATTTTTGAAATTGTTTCAAATGATTGTTTAGCTGAGCTGAGTATGTTAATTATTGGATAACAATGTAATAGTATAGCTTATGTATCTGTTTGTTTATTTGAAGACTAATCGTGAGTTCGCGACTGTATGACCAGCGTGCCCTTTTAGCTTTTGCAACTGCTTTCATTTTCCGAATTGGATTCTGAACTGTTGATAGAAATGAAGGGCTAAAACTAAAAACACGGTTAAATTTCCCCATTTTTGGTCATTGACTGTGAACGATTTTATGGGTTATCTGGACCAGTAATGTGGAATCTTTTTCTTTTATTACTGAAACCCAAACAAATAATTTTACCAGGTGAGGAAGGTGGAAATGCTTGAAGGGGTCTCAGTCGTGAGATCCGAGAAGGTGAAGGATGAATTAGTTTTGGATGGTAACGACATTGAACTTGTTTCCAGGTCTGCTGCCTTGATAAATCAGGTAACTGTTAAAATCTTTCATTTAATCTGGCACTGATATCATCTTGCATATGAATGTTATGGGCAATTGCTTAGTTACATTTTTCAATTTTTATTTTTTTTTCTTTTGAAATCGAACTAACCATCGAATACCAATCATTAACCCACATTTCCTGAACTAGACTAAATGTATTCGCTTACTCGTTATATCCTCGAGTATTTACATCATTTTTCAGCAATTACATTTACATCTCTATTTATGACTCGAAATTAAAAACACGAATCCAATGTATCGTGGCCTGTAACTTACAGTGAGACTGGTTTGTTTTCGGTTTGTTTGTGCAGAAATGCCATGTGAAGAAAAAAGATATTAGGAAGTTCCTTGATGGAATTTACGTCAGTGAGAAAGGAACCATTGCGGATGAAGAATGAGTTGGCTTTGTTATAATGTTGTAGGGTTCATCTTTTGTCACGCTCTTTTTTATTTAATTTCCTTTTTTTTTTCCGTTCCTTTGTGGTGCGATAATTTTCTTTGATGTTGGGATCTTTGAACATTCTTGCAGGTCTTACTGTGATCGAGCACTTTCTGTTTGTTTGATTTGTGCAACATTTTTGTTTTGTGAGGGGGTCTTTGTGGGTGTGGTCTTTTGCAGTATTTGGAACTACATTATCATGAGGCCGACTAAATTGTTATATAATTTACATCTGAGCTTCCTGAATTTGGATTATGCATTACTGAATGCGCCCATTAGGATTATAGTAACATGTATATGTAAACCAATCACGATTAGATTAAATTTGAATTTTCTTATCCAATCCTTGATATGAATTTATGGTGAAATTTCCTATCCAGTGAAACCTTCTTTGTCCATTTTTGGCAGTGGTCGGCAACTCAAGCACGATTGCATAAGCAGCCAAGATGTCATTCTCATGAATTGCTGTCTTATTTTGGCGCACTAACACATTCTCTGTTTCTTCTGGTTTCCTCTCCATTATTATCCACTTATGTCTCTCTAAAACTTCAAACAAAAAAAAAAAAGGAAATTGAACTTCTTTTGTTATTTTCACCTCCCGACCGAGAATCAAGAAAGAAAGGATTCTATAAATTTAAATTATACTATTTTTTCTGTTTTCCTCTATATCTCATATTTCAGTCATGTTCTTCCACAGTACCATCATCTTCTCATTATCCACCACTCTCTTCTTCATACTCACAGTCCTCACAATCCCCCAAACAACCAAATCATCATCATCATCATCAGAGAAGAAATCCCCATCTCGGCCCAAAATCAACATCACGAAACATCTCTCCTTCCCCAATTTCGGCCGAACCAGCCCGGAAGCCCAAACCATCCAAGACCTCACACTCCTTGGCAGTGCCGCCGTCTCGCCTCAAACGGGTTGCATCCAAATCCCCGAAAACAACCTCCAAAACACAGCCGGTCGAGCAATCTACTCTTCCCCTATCCGTCTACTCGACCCTAAAACCCGTTCCCCTGCCTCATTTACAACCACCTTCTCCTTCCGGATCCACAACCCGTCAGCCCGACCAGGGCCCATCTCGGGCGGGCTGAGCTTTGTCATCGTACCCGACGAGCTCACAGTCGGCAGGCCTGGCCCGTGGCTCGGCATGCTTAACGACGCGTGTGAGGATGAATACAAAGTGGTCGCGGTTGAGTTCGATACTCGCATGAACCCGGAGTTTGGGGACCCGAACGATAATCACGTGGGACTTGATCTCGGCAGCATAGTCTCAACTATTTCCATAAACGCCTCAGATTTCGGGATTCGTCTAAATGATGGCTCGGTTCACCGGGCCTGGATAAATTACGATGGAAACAGTAAATTCTTCGAAATATATCTCGGGCCGGACGAGCTAACACTCCCAAGTAGAGCCGCTTATTCGGGTAATCTCGATCTTTCGCCTTATCTTAACGAATACATGTTTGTCGGGTTCTCGGGCTCGACCGGCGGCAACCACACGGAGGTCCATAGCATATGCTCGTGGAATTTCACTTCCGCTAGTCGGGCTGTTCTTCGGGTCCCGTCAGACAAAAGTTGCGCGGGTAAGATCACGGTGGATAAAAACTTCGACCACGTCTCGAGCAGAACTCCTAGCAGTT